CCACATCCCATAACGAATACCATAGGCCCTGCGATACGATTAATATCATTTTTCCTATCTATCAGGTCAGCTTCCTAGATGCTGTCTTCAGCCCAGCCCGAGTTGGGGGTAAAATAGCCTCTTCATTGACTTGATCTTCTGGTCGTCACAGGAGTTGACCAAACCACCCGAGTCAGCAAATAATGTGGTTGTAATTGATCGATTATGTTTCCGACCGACCCTATAATAACTAGATCACATAGCCGGATAGTTTTCTTGTAAAAATCCTTTAGTGTATTGTCAGCATCTGATGCTGAGGTGTACCCCTTTACACCTGAGACTTTGAAACCAGCACCCGAAAGATGTGCAGACGCAATCGCAAAGTCCACCGTTTCCCAGCGCGTAGACACAACTGTGGCTTTGTTTCTCGGGACTATTGTAAACTCGAGCAGTTCTTGACTAGGAGCGCTCTTAAACTTACTTAGAGCTGCAAGTTCGACCTCCCTCGCGATTTTTATAAAAAGAGTAACTTTTTTCGAAAACTGATGCTCTCAGTTAAATAGCAAGATTTTTCGCCATACTCACCGTTTTAACTCTTGTTGCTTTTGCGGAAAGAAACGTTACTGGCATCCTGCATTACAGCCTACCTCAAGAGTAGCGTCCTACCCATCCACCCTTCCGAAATTATTTATCTATTTTAGCCGAAATTCTGTTCAAAACGTGGACTATTTGACCTTTAAAGGTTTATGTCGCGCTCGCTCGTGATTTACTGTAGAGTGCTCAACATTAACAAAACATTTTGTGTGCTTTCAACCTCAGGTCGCTTGCATCCTCTGGGGCTACAAGGAGACGGACGAGGTGGTCAAGGTCGAAGTCTGGGATGTAGTAGACAAGGGAAAACCGCGAAATCTCACTCAAGGCACAAAACTGCCCCGGTATGCTCGGAAGTTCATCAAGGAAGCCCAGGTAGGAGGTGCTTTGAAGCAATACTTTCTGTCCTCTGAAACATAGAGAGAGACGTTTTATGTTGACAGTATTTTTCTAGATTTTTTCGTAAATGTCTTCTACTCACCGAGAATAAAACTGGATACACAAACCACGTAACACTAGAGATAACAAATTATGCATGGTGGTCAAAGACTGCAACCATCGTCCTTGAATTAGTAGTAGAATGTAGGCCAAATTAGACTCCCTTCAAAACGGTGCGCAAAGTGTCGTCGGCAGATGACCTCATTATTCTAGTTACAATAAATAAACAGGGGTAAAATCCGTCATAATGAGCAAAATAGGCCACGAGGCGTACATGCGAATTGAGGGCAGACAAAAAAATAGGCGACTCAATTTTGAACGCCCGCTGTGATAAGGATGGACTGAGACCGGAAATCCTCCCGGATGATGAACTCGTGTGCGTAGAAGCTGCTGCCTGGCTGGTGGAGACTGTATACTTGTTACCTTTTTAATTTCCTCAGAAATTATTTTCTAACTTGGAGTAGATCAGCATACTCGAGGGTCTACAGACGCAGACCCCAGATGTGGCTTTGTATTGCAGTCTTAGGGTTTGTGTATGCCGGTTAATTTGAAGACACTTCCAACTATTGGCTGCCTCCAGAGAGTTTCCTAATTGCACAATGCAGATATTCATCCTTAAATCATACGTATATAAGTCAATGCCAAACACATTAACTGTCCTTCTGGGGGTATATCGTTTGTTACCTACTCCCCACGATTAGTAACTGTCATCTATCATGATAGCCCCATGATTGGAAGAACAAGAGAGCCTGTTCGGAAAATTTTTTTTTATTTGACCTTATTGTCAAAATCCCGGTGGCCTCGGTGGGATCAGGCGTTATTGGGGATGCGCAACCATAGCGGATGCCGCGCAGAGGTAGGGACCTGGG